TTTTACGAATACTGTGGCCATAGTAAAGAAGATAGTTGGACGTGTGTTACTGCTATGATCGATGCATCAAGGTTTGCTATCAGCAACGGTGTATTTGTTTCAGTTATCAAATCATGGACAGCTGAGAAGACAAGAAAACAAATAGGTTCTGTCAAAATTAGGTTGTAATGCATAGTGTCGTAGATATTTCTCCCCGCCAACTCTGATCACATTGCGTGAATCTCCTAATTAAAATAAATAAATAAATTTCTCGTTTCAATATTTAAAAATTCTCACCAGAGTTTTAACTTTTTAAAGTAATAAAAGTAACCCTCCGATAATTATTATCTATTTTTCTTTAAAATACTCCTATTAAAAACTGTTATATTCTTTTCCTAAATTTTTAATAAACCAACCCATATAATTAAACCGATTCAAACAATCTAAAACTTTAACCGGTTCAAATAAATTATACTAAATAATTTACTAATATTTATTCATTTAATTTATTAAAATAATAATAATAAAAATATTTCTATATTTTGAGAAAAATCGTCTAATTTGTTGAGGAAAATTCTCCCTCTAATAAATAGGAGAGAGACATGTTAGTAGTTTCTTTACTTGTACTTGCCATAGCACCTCCAAATGAATTATGGAGAAGGAACGGGCGACGGGAGCTGCAACAAGAAGCACATAATTCTCGTCCATGGCGCTTGCCATGGAGCATGGTCTTGGCACAAGGTGACGACCCAGTTGAGGTCCGATGGGTACCAGGTTACGGTGCCCGACCTTGCGGCCTCCGGCGTCGACGAGCGGCGGTTTCAGGACCTGCGATCGTTCATCCACTACTCCCAGCCGCTCCTGGACATATTGGCCTGCCTCCCCCCTGGTGAGAGGGTCATTCTGGTAGGCCACAGCCTCGGAGGCCTCAACATAGCTCTGGCTATGGACAGGTTCCCCGAGAAGATCGCCGCCGCGGTCTTCGTCACCGCCTTCATGCCGGATTCCGTCAACCCGCCCTCCTACGTCATCGACAAAGTATCGCTGTTCGAATTCTGATGCACATTTCAGACCTGTTCTTATAATTTCATGAATACCATACTAAGTTCCACCGTCTGTGACTCGAATTAGGAACGCGTTGACTGGCTTGCTTTCCTGTACAGCATAAAGAGGAGAAACCCATGTTAAATTGGGGCGACACACAATTTGGCTTGTACGGGGACAAAGACGAAGGTCCCGCTTCCATGCTATTTGGCGCCGAGTTCTTATCCAAGCTTTACACACGTAGCCCACCCGAGGTACGTATGCATGCACAACCACTATTCATCTTCTGCGACTCATTCTACTGCTAGGGCTGAACGACAGTTGTGCAACCATGAAATGCTTGGAAGGATCTGACGCTGGCGAGGACCCTTGTGAGGCCTTCTTCCGTGTTCCTCGAAGACCTCGCGTCCATGCCTCCCTTCTCCCCGTCGAGATACGGATCGGTGGAGAAGATCTACGTGGTGTGCGCTCAGGATGAGATCATCAGGGAAGGTTTTCAGCGGTGGATGATCGAGAACAACCCAGTGAAAGAGGTGAGAGTGCTGGAGGACGCCGACCACATGCCCATGTTCTCAACCCCGAAGCAGCTGTTTCAGTGCCTCTCGGATGTTGCCGATGCCTGCGCTTGATCCTCCGAATAACGTGGTCATAATAAAGTAGATTTGTAGTTGTATTTGCGTTGCAGCTATGATTGATGCATCATGGTTTGCTATCAGAGCAATGGTGTAGCTGTTTGATATATCAAATGACACCCAACAAGACAAGAGAAACATAATGGGTTTTGTCGATATTAGGCTGTAATGCCGAGTGTTATAGACATTTTTGCGTAGCCAACCTTTGTCACCTTGTTCAGATTACCTGATTCTCCTAATCTATTTAATGTGGACTCTGTTGCCTGACTGCTTGAGACCTGAGGGTTGTACGCTCTTCTCGTGTTCTCATGTGAAACGTAGCTGCAAATTGCAGATTGGCCTCGCTCGCTTTGCCTCTAGGAGACTGTATTAACTATGACTAGGTGACTGCTATTTCGTAATTACTGGGGACGTTCTTCTATTCAGCTTTGCAAACTCCAATTTCGCTTATCATGCATGCATTCCACCACGTGACTTTATGTAACTTCCTTTGCTCCAAATAGAAATTGAAGTCCCATAACAAATGAGAAATAATTGGATCCATCCAGAATGAACATTTCCTTACAGGCGTGTGAGATAGTACCCAAGATGGACAATTGCTTTGTAATAATTGGACTGAACTCAGATAAGACCCACGGAGACTTGATGCGCGGAAGAGGAATCAGCGATATCAATTTAGGTAGGTAAAGACTTCCTCAGTTGTTGGAAGGTTAACAGTAAAATAATAAAATAATAAAATTATCATTGTTAATATCACTCCTTCCGATCACATCATATAACTTTTGAATCGTTCTTGTTTTTCTTATAATTGAAATTCTTAAATAATGTATCTAGCCAATCTAGGTGATGATTCAGGTGAAACCACTTCGTTGCTTACTTGAATTATATCATCCTCTTCTAAAATTATAACTTTTTTATGTTGTCCGTTATTTTTTCAGTTTCAAATTTATTATTCATCAAACTTAACATCTCTTCGCATCACAACTTTATTTGTAATAGAATTTAGAGTTTCTAACAATTGAAATTATTATATTTTTGACTTTTATCCTCAATTTTTATTTTTTTTCGTTGGTATCTTAGCAAATACAATACTTTTAAAAATTCTCAAATGATCAACTCTTGGTTTTTATAAGCGTCATACTTATTCTGGTATAAGAAACTTGTTAAGCAAATAAACTATACAAGCAATAATATCTCCCTAAAATTCTTTAAAAATTCTTCTTTCCTTTAATATGTATCGGATCATATTAAGCATAGTCTTATTTTTTCGATATCATTTTGTTAAGGTGTATACAACATGGTGAATTAATATAAAATTTTATTATTTCTATAAAAAAATAAATTTATTTAATATATATTCACTATCCTTATTTATTTTTAAATATTTAATCTTATAACTAATTTATCTTTCTACTAAATTCTTAAAATCTTTGAATTTATTTTAAAAAAATTTCTTTACATATAAACTCAAGTTTTTCTAGAGGTAAGAAAATACTTACTTCCTCCGAGTAATACTAGACTAATAAATCCATAAATATTTGAATGCACTAAAACGAGTTTAAAGACTTTTTTTTTCCTTGCTCATAACACATACTTCTCATATATTATATTTGATGAATGATCAATTCTTAGTAATCCTATTATCATATTATACTTTTTTAGAAGTTTCATAGTCGCAATATTTAAGTGAGCGTATCTAAGATGTTATAATATAGAATTATTCTAAATATCAGTTTTAAAATAATTTAATCGATAAAAAAATACATAAATATAGATGAAATATTTTATTTATTATCATTTATATATATAAAATTAATGTTTTATTCTTGTCACAATTTGAAAGAGTCATATTTCTCATCATAACTTTTTCAAGTAATTGCCCTGAGCTTAGAATATTATTTTTCATATCAAGAACATAACAAATATCTGAAATGTATACTTCTTTATCATTATTAAGTCTAAAAAAAAATTTACCTCTACCGTTTACTAGTTTTTGAGACGGTTCACTAAATGTAATGTTGTGAGAATAACTTATATCTATTTCAAAAAATAATTCTTTGATACCACACATATGATTTGAAGTTTCTATATATCTATATTATGTTATACATTTATTTTCTTTCAAATTATTATAAGTCATCAGTAAAACTTGATTTTTATTCTTCTTTTTTTTAACAAAATTTATATATCACCTTTATTATTATGATTATAATAATATTCAAAGGAGTAATGTTGTAAACATAACATTGTATTTTAGATTTTTTAGAATTTCTACCATGTCTACGACCATATCCTCGACCATAATCTCAATCTTTTTAATTAGAATTTTCTCTATCACTTTTATTGGTTTGAGATTATTGATTGCTCCTATTTATGTCACATCTTCCTCTTTGTCTATGACCTCTTCTTCTTTTAGATTTTGATTCACTTTTATTTTATTTTCGAGAGTAAGCTTAGTTTGTGATGCTTACTCTGTAGAACCCATTAGTTATTCTAAATATATTTATTCTAAATTTTTAGATTATTCAATCATTACAAAAATAAAATCAAACTTTGGATCTAGATATCTTAGTATTTTTTTATTACTCTTTGATCACTTACTTGTTCACTATTTTGTCTCATTTGATTAATAATAGAAATAAATTTTAAGAAGTAATCAGAAATAGAACCATAAGTATCTTGCTATAATTTTTCAAACTCAGCTCATAAAACTTGTAGATGAAGCATTTTTACCCTATACACTCCATTAAATGCTTTTTGAAGCATTTCTCAAGTATTTGTTGGAGCAATGATTTCAAATATTGTAGCATTAAGCCCTTGGTAAATCATAAATAAAGTTTTTTTCTTGTTCTTCCTTTTATCTTTAAGTTATTTTCTTCCTTTTATATTCATTGCTCCTTCAATTAGTTCAACAAATCTATCTTCTATAAACTTCCATACATCTTAAGAGACCTTCATTTCGATGCACTATATATCATAATTTTTTTTTTATTAATCTAGGGATTTGGAGTTGGATGATGTTTGAGGAAAAGACCATAGTTTAACTTGACTTTGATACTAAATATTGAATTAGATAGAGAGAAAAGATTGAGCTACAATACAATCGAAGAGTAGAATAAGAAAAAATATTCTATGTTTTACTAAAAAATTCTCTATGTTAGATGAGGTTTATATAGTTCTCAAAACACTATATTCATTACATTTAATATGAACCATTCTTTATCAAAAGAGTCTTTAATATTTCAAATATTTTTATAATATTTTGATAAATTTTGTCCCAACAAAATCTACGTATAATCAGCGGTGCATCACTATTTTTGGTTGACCAATTCTCAAGCATGGGAAGGACGGGTGGTGAAGGCCGCGAACGAAGAGAACGCCAGGCTACGTTCCCATCGTCCCCCCTTTGCGGCCGTGCGCATTCCCCGCGGATCTTCCCTTCCGTTGCGCTCTCTCATTCCGACAGGTTGTCGCAGTCATGTTTTGCCTTCCTATTCCCTTTCTCTTATTTATATATACACCCCGTCCCCCTTCTCCAACCTTTGCTCCTCCCAGCCTCCGCCTGCTGCTCTTCTCTTCGTATTTCTTCTTCATACATTCTTCTCGTCCAAAGCTTTACTTGTTCACCGGCCATTCTCCCCTTGATGGGGGAGGGAAAAGACAGCAGCGGTGGCAGTGGGCATGGAGCCATGCACGCCAACGTGCCGATGCCGCACTCGGACCCGCTCATTCACCATTCGTCAGCTGACGATGACTACTACGCGCGGCACAGCAGCTCCTCGGCCACCGCCAGCTCCGGGTACTACTCGGACCACCCCACGGCCGCGAGCGGTGACAGCTCCCCCTTCGTCATGTCCCCCTGGCACCAGAGCGCCCCTTATCCGCCCTGCGACCCCGCCTCCGCTGACGCCGCCGCGCTTCCCTGCACGGGGCTCATAGGCTCCCTGGTGCGGGAGGAGGGCCATATCTACTCGCTCGCCGCCATCGGCGACCTCCTCTACACGGGCTCCGATAGCAAGAACATCCGCGTGTGGAAGAACCAGAAGGACTTCGCCGGGTTCAAGTCTAGCAGCGGGCTTGTCAAGGCCATCGTCATCGCGGCCGACCGCATATTCACCGGACACCAGGATGGCAGGATCCGGTCGTGGAGGGTGTCCCCGAAGGACGCCACCGTGCACAAGAGGATCGGAACTCTTCCCAGGCTCAAGGACGTCCTCCGGAGCTCTCTCAACCCGTCCAACTACGTCGAGATCCGCCGCAACCGCAGTGCGCTCTGGATTCGCCACTCCGACGCCATCTCGTGCCTCAGCCTAAACGAGGAACAGGGGTTGCTTTACTCCGGATCCTGGGACAAGACCTTCAAGGCGTGGCGGATCTCCGACTCCAAATGCCTGGAGTCCGTCGTTGCCCACGACGACGCCGTTAACTCCGTAGTGGCCGCCTTCGACGGGCTCGTCTTCACCGGGTCCGCCGACGGCACCGTCAAGATGTGGCGAAGGGAGAAGCAGGGGAAGGGCATCAAGCACACGCTAGTGCAGACTCTCCTCAAGCAGGAGTTCGCCGTTAATTCGCTGGTAGTCAGTCCCACGGCGCCCATCGTCTACTGCGGCTCTTCAGATGGACTCGTCAATTTCTGGGAGGGGGAGCACCACCCGACCCACGGTGGGGTACTCCGAGGCCACAAGATGGCAGTGCTGTGCCTTTCCGCGGCCGGGAGCCTCCTGCTGAGCGGCTCCGCGGACAAGACCATCTGCGTGTGGAGGCGCGAGGGCGCGGCACACACCTGCCTGTCTGTGCTCAGCGGACACTCCAGCCCCGTCAAGTGCCTCGCGATGGAGACGGAAGCCGGCAGCGAGGAGAACGGTGGCAGCTACGCCGCCGCGAGGTGGATCGTGTACAGCGGCAGCCTCGACAAGTCGGTGAAAGTGTGGCGGGTGTCGGAGCAGGCGCCGCTGGAATTGGAGCAGTCGGGGGCATACGGGGGGAGCAACAGCGGCGGAAGCAGCGGTGGCACCGGACAAGCCTATGGTGGGTCGGTGGGCCAAGAATTCGAGATGCCGGTCGAGCAACTACGAGCCGCCGCATGAGATCTACATGCGATGGCGCTTATGACTGCTGCAAAGCGGGAGCCCTCTTCCTGTGATTCGAGGCTGATCGTTGTGTGTGTTCCGGACTTGAGAATTCGTGCTGCCTTGTTGTTTTCATGTATACGACTGAGTTGAGGGGCGATCGGGATGTTTGGTGTACGCGGAACAATACGAGTTGGATGATTAATTAACGAGCGAACTCTTTGAGGGACACTGTCACAGAATTTATGGTGTTCTCAATTATTTATCATGCCATTTATATTCAAAAAAAAGAAAAAGAAAAAGGAAAGCGTTCACTATGTGTTTGTTGCAAAGAAGGGACAAAGATTGTTTTGCTGCAAAAGATTTCGTCAGGAAATAATGGTTTAGAAAACACCTATGCATTTGCACGTAAACCTAAAATCTTTCTAACTTGCTCGCTCGCCACCCACCGCAGCATAAGAGGGGAGGAGGTGCGATTCGTGGAATCGACGAAGTACCAAGTGGCAGACTTCAAGGTGGGGTTTTACAACGGCGACCATGACGACGGCAAGCCCTTTGATGGGGTGCTGGGGCTCCTGGCCCACGCGTTCTCGTCGGAGAGCGGCAGTCTACACCTGGACGCGGCGGAGCCGTGGGTGGTGGACTTCGGGAAGGAGGAGTTATAGCTAGCGGTGGACCTATCAGTGGATGAGCGAGTGCGGCGGGCGAGCAGAGGAGGTGAGGTTCGTGGACTTGGCGGAGTACGAAGTGGCGGACATCATGGTGGGGTTTTACAGCAGTAACCACGGCGATTACAAGACCTTCGACTGGGTGCTGGGGAGTCTGGCCCACTCGTTCACGCCGGAGAGCGACAGTCTGCGCATGGACGCGACGGAGCGGTGGACTTGGGGAAGGAGGAGTTACAGGTGGCAGTGGACCTATGAGCGGTACGACAAATTATTTTGACCTAGTAATTATTTTGACGTAGTTCATTTCTTCATATGAAAACCTTCACTCGTGTCCATATTCCTCAATGCAGATAACAATCTACTTCTGCTTCCCTGTACATTATGGAGGAATATAGGAGTGACGACTGTTCCATGAATTCCACATGAGAGAGAGAGAGAGAGAGAGAGAGATATTTTAGGGTTGTCATTCCAGATGTATGATTGAGTAGCGCCTGTGGACAAAGAACAAGAAGAAGAAATGAACGTCTGTAGGATTTAGGAGGAGATGGAGATTTTGCCAGGTTCGTCGGCGGCTTTGAGCGTTCTGGTGATGATCTGACGGGCTTTGACGCTCTTGATCTCCATCCTAACGCTCATGCTCTTCTCTAGCCTCGCGTACTCCTTTGGCTTCTTCTTCTTCTTCGCCGATTTGATCATCTTCGATTTCAACTTATCTAACAGCACCACCAGTTGATCACCCATGTCACCCTCTCTCTCTCTCTCTTTCTCTCTTATATATTTACTATTACATATGCTAGGATTATAAGAAACAAGGCAATGATTTGTTTCCTTTTCTCTGGCTTCGTGTGCTGGCTATGACGAGGATGGGTTCCAAAAAACGCCATAGATAATGTCCATAATGGTGGATGGATTTGTTAGCGTTTTAATTACCGTTGTCATGCTAAACGCACACGGTTATTAGATCTATTCTTGTCTCTCAAGTAGAACGGATTAATTGATCGGGAATTGAGGAGAATATTGTGTACATTTAAGATTAATTCAACTACAATCAAGGTTTCTATCTTATCCTTGATTTATAATATCTTCAAGGCAATCCAATTTTATATCATATCCTCGTTTGCAATATCCTTAAGAGAGAGAGTCTCACCATGGAATTAAAAAATTTCTTTTATTGAAGCTTTCCAAGAAAAAAGAGACCAAGAATACTTCTAAGTATGATACATATTTGTAATGATACCAACCAAATTCATCATATATATATATATATATTTGCATATTTCATACATGATATTGATACGTATGATTTGTGACCATATTGTGCAATAATGCATTAATCAATGACTTAATAGAGACCATATTTTTTTCAATAACACAAGAGTAAACATCTACTCAAAATTCAATTTTGGTAACCTTTGTATGTCACAGCTTGCTTAGCTGCAGCTTTTTATGGCAGACTACCCACAATAATCAGGATCTGATGAGGCATTTTGTGCATGGTGCAAAAGGGTCGACTTGATTGCACCTATTCATGATGAATAGATCATCAGACGAAGTCACCACCTAAAAGTTCTGCAACAACGTATAATAGAACTTAATATTATAGTCGTGTCTCATAGCATATGAAAGATATGGACAGAAATTTCTTACCACTGCAACGGAAATTGAAGTTTTTGTGCATCAGACCACAGCATAAGAGTAGATAGGAGTGCAACAGTAGCTGTCTCAACTCGTAGCCGGCATGGACCAAGGCCAACAGCAGTAGCACCTGCTTCTATCAATAGTTTCACCTCTTCATTCGTGAAGTCTGGAAAAAGCAATTACCAAAATTGTCTAGATAAGTCTTAGTTAACATTATTTAATAGAACGTTCTACTGTATTGCGTGAAGCTATGAAATGCCAACTAGAAATAAGCCTATCAACCTTAGTCAATCATTTCTTCCTTCACAATTAGACAACTTTTGTATTTTATCTTAACTATTAAGGTCCTAGGATTGGCAACAAAAGCATATGGCAGAAGAAAGATAGTGTTCGACTGTTCAAACCTACCCAAAACAAACGAAGGCAGTTTAGATTGAGGCGGACAAAAGATTCAAATATACTAATAAAGAAGAGAGATGGATAAATGCTGAGATGAAAATAAGAAGCAATTGCAATAGGTGTTTTATAGGACACACAACAACAATGAACATTACATCTAAAATACAGGCTAATGTCTTAAATACAACTTGTTTCAATTGCCAAAAGGAGGAAAGAGTTTTATAAACCAAATGTCATTAAGTTGGCTCATAGAAAAATTGTGAATGAATAGACTCATCTATTTAGTATAGCTAGACTCATTTTAAAATCGAAAAGAATTGGAAATGCAGCATAAAGTTTTAAATCTCTGTTATCCCTGTAAAACCAAACTGCAAATTGTTTAATGGAATATGTCCACTAGCTTTCATCCTCAAACTATGTATTTGCTTCATGCTGACTATCCCCATCAATAATTATTATATTCATTTGCATTATATGGTTGTGAGAGATGTGGGGCAAGGGTAATTCATGGCTGGCATATTGGAGGTTTTGTATCAAGGAAGCGAAAGAACTACTAACCCCCTTCTGGACCAACAATCAGAAGTCCACTGTCTTCTACAGTTGACTCGGATAGGACATTCACTAGAGGAGTTGCTTCTGCTACAGCTACAAAGGCGAACTTTGAATTTGAAACCTATACAGCATATCAAGAAGAGGCATAACTGGACAGAAACTGAAGCAATGTTCAACTATTTACTGAAGAAAACAGCATTGAGCAACCTAGTACTGCAAAAAAAAGAGAGTTGAAGCAGCATATCATAAGCATATATGTTTAACCTCTGGCTTTACTGTGAGATCTTGATACTCCTCGAAAAATTACACATTGAGATTGCATAAGACATCATAAGGTCATCAAATCTGATTTTAAAATCAAAATTTATAGACTAGCTATCACCATTGCTATCCTTTTCTGAGAACTGTCATGAGTGATCAAACTTCAAAATCTTTAATACTGAATAAATAATCAACATTGGTAACCTAAAATTATAACTGTGGCTCCAACTAGGAACACTTACTCATTTAATCTTAGATTAAGTTTCTTCATTTCTAATTGTAACTCCAATGCCATTGAAGACTCCATTGATTTACATAGTCCACAGACATGTTATAACTTCTCATTAGACAACATGAAATTGAACCACATTTTCTATAAATTATTCTCATCCTCTATTTTTTGGAAATATGTTGTAGGTTTAAGTCCAATTTGCACTATGCTAGAAAAGATCCCAACCATAAAATGGTCCAAGACAAGGATAATTAGACCAGTCTAGCTTAGTAGCAAGTACGTAAAGGAAAAGCACACATAAATGTCCTCATTTGAGCCAAGAGACTATTTATTGTATCTTATCTCATGCAGGCCATTGTCATCCGAGTTAGGTAGAAGGAGAATTGTAACATGGGAAAGAATCCATCTCTGGACTTCCAAAGGAAAGGAACTTACCATCGGTAAAAGTTTCCGAAATTTCATAGGAGGATTTAAAGTCATTTGATGTAGTCTCTGACCTATTGAAAAAGAAAAAACAAAGACAGCATATCCTGCTGAGTAAAGGGATTAGAATTAAAATATCTGCTTCACAATTCTAAGATATTCTAATCATTTCATTGACATGTAAAAGGAACAGAAAAGATATAGCAACATGCAAACCCAAGAAATCATTACATTGCTTAACAGCAGCTAATACAACACGTTCCAACCTTTCTACCCGATTTTCTGTAATCGTATGAGATCGCTCTGTCAAAAGGGGGGTTACACTGCTCGCTCCCAGTTCCTTAACATAAGGTAACAGAGAACATAAGCCAATGTACCTGTAATACTCAACAAGAACTTGGAATTCCCACAAGCAGAAGAGAACATACAGTGCATTTCTCAACCAGCCAATCTGCCCGACCACCTTTCAAGGTTCCTGAAACAATTGCAGCTTAGCATATTTAAATAGACACACATAAGAATGATAACTCAAATTGATCAATAAGACCTACCAAAAGCTGCATATATATGCCACTGAACACCCTGAGGATCAACGACTTGGGGTTCCTGTAGAGCAATTATATCTAATCCAGTCCGACTTACACTCTGTATGCAGCCTTCAACTAGACCACCTTTACCATCAAAGAGTTCCACCCTTGCGTATTATAAAAGAAGAGGAAAAAAGGGACATTAAATGCGACATAAGAACCAAAAGTTACCCTTTTACTCCAACAAGAACATTTAGAATCAGACTAACAGAAAGCTATCATGTAATCAAGATCTTAATTTATGACAGACAGTGTAGAGCAACCACAAAATGAGGATTCATTTAGAAGAATAGAAGTATCAGTTCCAACTCTATGAGCTACACTACAAAATAACTAGCATGCTGTTTAACCAAACAGCGTACCATCTCGATCTTTTCCGGCATACTTAAAAACACTTTGCGCACATACAAACTGATACTATTCCGGCATACCTATCATTTGGTCCCAGGCGTAGCACCTTCGTCATGTGCCAGAACTCGTCACCTTGGATCCGTACAGCATTTCCCTGCCACGAACCCAAAAAAGAGAAGCCCATCAATAATGTCACAAGAGCATCAACTGCTCGCTGAAATGTCTATAAGAAATGCCGTCAGCCACAGCGACCATATCAGAGACTAGGCACCTTGGAGGTAGGAAGGGACGGGGAATGGAAACGGGGAAGGCCGCCGCGACATAGGTTTCCAGATGCATTGGAAGACAAGGCGCGGAGGACCGGCGAGGCGCTCCTCCGTGAGCGCCGGATGAGGCCACACAACGAAAATCGAGCGGCCACGGTGGGCATCCTCCTCGATGACCAGTTTCAAGGCGGGTCACTTTGTTGTGATGTGCGGTCGCTCGAACGAGCATGCGTAAGCCTTTTGTTGGGAGTCCGATTCGTCCGGTCGCGTTATTGGACACTAACGGGTCCGGTCAAATTAAAATTTAGGCGAACTATGCGAGTGAATGTACGGTTAATGGAATACTCCGATTGGCAAATAATAAATAAATAAAATATATTTTAAATATATATTACTTTGGTATTTATTATCTAAAAAATTCGTTAAATTTTATATGATAAATTTATCATACTAATATTTATTCAAAAATAAATCTATATATTTTTTAATTTAAATTAATAAATAAAATAAATAAAATGTATTATAATCTTATAAAAAAAATTATTATCCAGACATATAATTAATAAAATATTTAAAATAATATTTAAAAAAAATAAAATTTCATCACATAAATGATTTCTCACTAAATTATATAATTATAGTTTTTATTATATAATGATAATCATATAATTAAAAAATATCATAAGATACTTTTAAATTTTTTTAAAAAAATCAGTAACATCTAGCAACTGCTCAATTATTAATAGTATCCTATGATAATATCAGCATTTGAGTATTTGTAATTCAATATCTAAAAAAAATATGATTTAAAAAATATATCAAATATCAATTCACATTTAAAATATATATATTAGGCCCTTAATGCATATTTGAGATGTGCTCTCAAGATTAGACACCAACTAAAACAGGACCAAAAAAAAAAACACAAACTGTTGAAGAATTTTGGAGCCATCCGAATCACCGACACTTAGAGGGAGGTGAATAGAGCGTCTCATAGGGCTACTGCTTTTGCAAGATCCACCGCTTCTACTTTTTTAAGGCAAAGAAACTTGCCAAATCAACTTTATAACATTCTCTCCTCTACCAAAGAGGGACGTATCTTTTTGTTCGGGACTGATTTAAGCTTCTAAATTTTACTTTTCAGAAAAGAAGAATTGGCGCATAAAACCAGCACGCTCCAGAATTTTGAGTGTTGATCATTACTGGCTTGAAATTGCACCTCACTTTGGACTCCCATTTTGCCTCTCCGTCTTTATAGCTTCGTAGGACGTCATCAGTTCTTTAAACTTTGCCTCAGCAGCTTCTGCAGAAAAAGAATGAAGCCTTTTATTTCGTCAAAGAGACAAAAATAAGTTTTTAGGCAAGTAGTATTCCCATAAGCAAGTAATAACCTCTAATATCTTGGTTTTGATCAGGGTGGTACTTCATTGCTTTTGCTCTGAAAGCTCTCTGCAACAAATAGAGAAGAAACGTAATATGGTACTTGGATGGTATGCCATAATCATTATCATGTGACCATACAATCTGAATTAGACTCCCCGATAATACAGACATACAACTTTTTTAACTAGAAAACAACTGCAAAACTACCTAGTACTGACAGGACTGTGCCAGGCAAAGGATCATTAGTTTACAGTTTTAGACTAGCTATGCAGTATCTGATGCCTTTAAACTAGCTATTTAATAGTTGTCATTATCACAGGTGTTATTGGATTAAAAAGAAGGGTGGTGAAATTAGAACGGTAATTTTTCACAAATTTTGGGACAAAGTTAAACAAATGTTGCATCGTGAAAGTACGAAACAGAACAGCTTAAGTTCCTATTGTCTTTAGTTGATCTCCATGCATGAATACAGTATCCACATCTACACACTATTGGTTATTCAACTAAAGACATGAATAATTCGATAACATCCAAGGTGATTTCTGTTGGTTGTCATGTGTTCACATGGGACAAGGTCTCTGAATGAGATCCAATTATGTATAGTAGTTATATGCCAGTTTACTTGTGATGATAGCTAGTGCAGTTTTGTCGTAAGTCTGTAAGCATCCTGTCATTAGAAAGATAAAACCACTGTAGATCCTTAATCAAAATGATGGTGCTTATTTCCAAGTTCTAAACCATAATACTATTGATATCATGCAAATTACTATGTGACTGAAAAGATAGACCAGGAGCCACAAAAAATAAAATCAGATAAGGAAGTACCTTAATCTCAGCATCCGAATATGGTTCTGGTCTAGACCTAAAAAAGGAAGCATGAAATGAAAACTTCGGCAAATGAAAATCTAATATTGGTTTCTCATCAAGAATCTAATATCTTTACATTATATTCTACTACTTTCTTTCTTGAAAGAACCAACAATCACTAAATAGTGTCCTCAGGTGTCTATGTTGCATATCACTATTGCAAAACATGCAAGAAAATCTCGACGATGCCACAAATAAAATATACCTACCAGCCATAGAACCTAGAAAAGAATGATGACAAAACTAAAGGAAACCAATGAACAAGTACAACCAATTCTGACATGTTCTGAAGGTTCATTTAGTTCTTGTGAGTCCAATTTATATCTGTTCAGCTGTATTTGCATGGGTCATAACTTGTCTTTGCTTCTAATCCAGAGAAATAAGGATACTGCAATTTTATTCCCTCTTACAATGGTTTAGATAGAATAATGGATTTATCAGAGACATTTCTTAGCTGGTCATCCCTTCGGACAAAATGTTCAAACCATGAAAAATGTAACAAGTCAGCTCCTTCACATACTTCGGAAAGTTTACCCAAAATGAAGAAAATATTCACCATAATTAATAAGTCTAAATTCAACTTCACATGCAAGAAGTCTGTTTGATATAAACTAGGAAAAACAATGTTCACAGAAAGAAAGATAAATAAAGTAAGGATAAATGTGCAAGAGTTAAAATACTAAAAATTAATACCAGTCAAGGCCCAAGACTGAGTAATGGTGTGACATTGAATTGTTTCCACTGTGGCTAGAACTGATTTTGTAATGAGTCCTTTGATATCCATAAGATGTATCTGTATCGGTCTTATGATTCCAATAATCATGTCGAGTATATTCATGTGCACCTTCACCACTGTGCCTCCAATTCTCATAGCTCCTCTTATATTTATCTCTCTCTCTATAAAATATATTTTGCATGCGCCTAATACGCTCCTACACAGAGTTAAAATATATGAATCATTACTTATCTACATACTATGAAAATGATGATGCATGAATAATAACTTCTTACTATGCTCATGTTACAGTTAGTATACCTGACAAGTTAGCTGATAGCACGAAGGACCACCAATATCATTCAGAGTTACTAAATGATGCAATGTTAAACTAAAAAAGAGTTATTCTTATCATCCTTAATTCGATACATGTGCAGATGGACCTTGTGTCAAAGGTAACAGCAAGTAAAGGCAAGGTCTAGAGATGACCTCAAAAAGAAAAGCTACGTCCTTCAGTGTGTTCATTATGAAAGCTTTGACTTCATCGTAACAAACTCAAGACATCAGCATGAATCAAGATTTTTCCTCCCTCCCTTGTGTAGTGTAGACCTATGTAGTTTTCTTTACTCGAGCAACCAACTTATCATAAACAAGTAGCAAGCAGGAGACAGATTTTTCTTTCTGAAACTTTAGAAAAACCAGTAACAGGGCATTCAGCAAATTTATAGTGAGGTTGACATAAATTCCATTTTCAGATTTCGGACTCACATCTGAACCTTCTTATATCATATCAAGAACAGGCTTGTCCTTTTCTGAAAAAAAGAATAGGCTTATCCCTCACACTTTCCTATGGATCTCTAAAATTATGTAGGATAAAGTGATACAGCGAATACCTTATCAAATTTGGCACAGGTAGCAACTAGAAGACTAGTATTTTGCGTATGTAGTAAATTGAACTACATGTAATGGACTACAAAATTCTTTCTCTTTATGAACAAGTTACTTTGTGAGAACCCAAGAAGACAATAAAGGCTCAAGCAAGGGTGATAATCCATTAGTTATCAGCACCGCCATACACAGTGCAAGATCCCCATATATATTATAGTATAAAGGTCCATTTTACCCCTTGTGGTTTTGGCCATGGACCACTTAAGCCCTTATAATTTACTCGTCTAAAATAATCCATATATTTTAAAAAACATAGTATATAAGCCCCTCCCATAAAGTATGAGTTAACAGACATTAGAGTCTGCTTACGTGACATACTGATTTACAATAAACCATTAATATAATATCATGTGTAATTTAAGTTTAGAAAAGAATTAAGGTTCATTTTAGCCCATGTGGTTCTGACCATAGACCACTTAAACTTTTATGATTTATTCGCATCTAAAATAACCCTTATATTTTAAAAAACATAGCATATAAGCCCCTCCCGTCAAGTCTGAGTTAACAGACGTTATAGTCTACTTACATGGCATGCTGACTCACAATAAACCATTAATATAATGACACATGTAATTTAAGTTTTTTTAAAAAAATTGAGACCACCATCAATGGTGGGAAGAGGCATCGTCGTGGAAGCGACCACCAGTACCTCAAGTGAATGTGCATCGACCAGTCCGACGCTCGACAGGTAGTGGTCTCCTGGTCCCTCTTCCTCCTCTTAGGCATTGTCGTCTCCACCGCCTCCCACTTCGTCCTCTCCTGCGCCCCCACCCGCCACGCCTACGACATGATGATCCAGCTCTCCATCACCTCTGCCTTCGACCTCTCCTTCATCTGCAGCTACTGCCTTCGCCGCTTCCTCTTCCTCGACAAGATAGACCTTAACTCTTTTTTAAACTTAAACTACACGTGTCATTATATTGATAGTTTATTGTGAGTCAGCATACCATGTAAGCAGACTCTAACATCTATTAACTCAGACTTGACAAGAGGGGCGCTTATATGTTATGTTTTTTAAAATGTAGGAGTTATTTTAGACACGAGTAAACCATGAGGGCTTAAGTGGTCCATGGCCAAAACCACAAGGACTAAAATGGACCTTAACCCTTTTTTAAACTTAAATTACACATGAAATTATATTAATGATTCATGACGAGTCAACATGCCACGTAAGCAGACTCTAACGTCTATTAACTCAGATTTGACAGGAGGGACTTATATGCTACGTTTTTGAAAATATAAAGGTTATTTTAGACACGAATAAATTATAAGAGCTTAAGTGGTTCATAACTAAAACCACAGGGGTTAAGATGGACCTTAACCCTATATTATATCCACCTATCTTTGTGTTTGCATTACATTAAAAAAAATTAATATTCATTTATCATTTTTATTTGTGTTTGCACTTGCTTCAGATACATTAAAAGTATACAGGTTAGAACCTTGTATTGAACTTAGTCGGGCAAGTAAGGTATAAAAACATTCATCTTATTTAATCTCAAAGTATATAATAAAAAAATCAACCATTTGAGCTCTCAAAAGGAAGTGTTTTGGAAATAAATTTTATAAAAGCAATTTTTGATGGTCCAGAATAAAATGAATCAATATTTCAGCGTTAGTTTTTAATTATCTTCTAGAGACAGACAAGAATGTGTCCAAGCTGAGCACACCAAGAGAAATTTAAAAATAACATGGTGGTAAGCACAAGTCAATTGGCTGTTAGAAAGAAGTAAACAGTTACGATTACAGTGACTTAGGTTATTATTTGTGAAGAATTTTAATTAAAATAACTAAACTCAATAGGAGGCTTTGATCAACATTAGCAAATCATGTAGTAAACTTACCACTCTCTCCTTTTCCTTCTCATATTCCTCCTCCATTCTACGATTGTATCTTCTCCAAGCTGAATCCCTAAAACCTCCAAAATTTGAATTATTAGTTGTCTTCCACCATGATGAACTTGATTGTGATCTGTTGAACTGATGAAGTGAAAATAACCACAAAAACTCGTAAGAAAAACAATAAAGAAATCCACACTGTTAGTAAAGATTGTTTGAATTTGACAGTGGACAGAATGCATGATTATGAGCAGATATTTAAATTCCATAAAATCACATGTTGGAATACATTTAGATAAATCTAAAAGCTAATGAATCATCTTCATATAGACTCAACTCCAAGCTTATAGAAGCAAGCAACCTAAGTAGTCTTCGCCATCCAGCACATACAACAATGGCTTAAGCCACAGGGCACAGGCATAATCTGAGAGTCACCCTACAAAAAGGTTGAGAAATTTGATCAGCATGGGCAACAGTTTGGTGCCTATGCTGCAATAATCGATTCTTCTGGACAAATAGGAAACAATACCAAAGCTGACATCTGCTTTTGCATCAGCTCATTGGTCAAAAAGCTGAGAACACTATAAGGTATCAGCCTCTAGAAAGAACAGTCAACACTGCTAGTTGATGATTATAAGTAATTTCATGAAAGAACATTCTAGAATTTAGCAAGAACCTAACGAAATTATAAAGCAGCTGTTTCTGGTATAACCAAGTCTTGAAGCTTACTAGACATGAATCTTGGTTCATACAAGGATCTCTATGGATCAATTAAATAAAAAGGTGTGCATCTTCTAGTAACCAAAAATTTCTCATTTGTCATGATGCACTTCATATGCTGTAATTTAGTGTATACCCCTCCCCTTTGGTACCTCCTTGGTTAGGTTCTGTTTGTAGTATAATGACTTTGGGTAATGCAGCCACAGCAATTATGATGAAAACATAAAACAAACTGGAGGTATACAACATGAGTTTATGTTTGCGCATGGACTTTATGTTTTCAGCCTAAAGACAATGAACTCATTTGGTAATATTGTTCCAAGTGAATTCTTTACTTTTCTTCAAATTTTATAACTATTTTCTTCAAGAATTACCAAGATTCTGCCACAACCAAAGAAACAATGACTAGGTCAAAAGTTTTAAAAAAATTATCTGAAAGCTGTATATCCCTATTGGATTCAATGGAATCAACCTAATCAACTTAATTCTTTTTCCAATAGAATCAACCTTATATACGGAATAGACTACTAAGTCAATCAATGATGATATGAGCTGATATCCTAATCTCATATATGGTAAAAGTTCCATTGAAGAAGGTATGTAATACATCTGACATTCCAATTTTGGCTTAGCTTTTGTTCATTCTTTTGGCATTCATCTCAGAGACAAAAAAATTATAATCAAATGAACTATCAGTTTGTTATTATATAATCCTTCTACACTGCAGAAAGCACACTTCCTCTTGATATTCAGCTGTTAGAACAATTGTTGCTCCGCTTAAAATGTTATAAATACATATTGATATTGCAAGGTTTAAACGCATCATATAAATTGTTGCATTTAAATTTTTTTGTTCAACTAGATAGCAACCAATTATTACCAACTAATGTGATGAGATATTAAACACGAAAGTATTATTAGTGTTGTTATTCATTCTAAGTAGTTGTTCAAAGTAACAAGACGCAACAAGGTAAATTTATGTAAAAATGCTTCACATAATAAATGAATATAAAAAATGCTTCCATCAAATTTGATTATGCATTAAAGCCAATATATTTTTGGTTTGGCATCCACAAGGCTGTAATTCTTCTAAATCAACTAAAAAAATGAAATGTTAACATGTTGGCTGCACTACGTTCTTTGAGGAAATCTTCTATATCTTCTAGAACATCATTTAATAAAAACACAAAATTGCTTGTGAAAAATGTATCTATCAGAAAAGGAATGCCTAGAACAGTAAAAGATGGTAAAAATGAGTTACAATTTAAAATAATGAGCAGCCGCATCCTGCGATAAACTAAGGTCAGGAACTAAGTTTACCTGAGTGTAGAACAAATTAATAGTCCTCCACATCCGATAAACCTGCCAATTCATTGAGAAGGTGGATACCGTGTCAAGACCCACAAAAAGAAAGCTTGATCAAAGAACTTTCATTGATAATTCTAATAACGAGAAATCTCCAGAACCCCCCAACACGCCAAAAAAACAGAATAAACCGCGAATCAAGAGTGAAAAAGAGAGAGGAGGAGGAGGAGGGGAAACATGAGTTTTACCGAGAACGTGGTACCAAGTAATCCGAAGAGAAGCATCCCCCATTCGGTGCCTCCGCCTGCCTTCCCCTGCCGCAGATCCTGGTTGCCCTTCCCATCGCCGTGGCTCATTTCTTCCTTCTGATTATTCCCCGAAGCCGCAACGCAAAGTGGAAACCCCCAGTTTGAGGATTGATAGCTTTCGAAACGAAGGGATTGGATGAAGAGAACGATTCGATTGGCGACGACCTTTGTAAAACGAGAGCCTGTGCTAAATAGGCTTTTGTGTGTAATATGATAATAAGCAAATTATAATATTAAAAAATATTATAAATAGTTAAAAAATATATAATACAATAATTTCATAATCTGTTATAATGTTTTCATATGTTTATAATATTTTTGTATAGTATTATATTGTTTCTAATCATTCTAAAAAAATTATATTATAATATTTTTATAGTGTGTTATAGTTTTTTCTGATATTATTGAAAATACTATAACATGGTATAAAAAATATTATTTTTTTATATATCAATAATATTATAAATAGAGTATTTTTTGGTACTACTAAAATTACTATAATGCATTAACATTTTATATGTTTCAAGTAAAATATTTATTTATGATAAGTTTTGATTAGTAGGTCAATCATTATGCTTATTGAGTTGTGATTTGTTCATATAATTGTTTTTTTAATTTTTTAAAATTATACTCATAATAGTAGTTAGATTTAATATGGTATTATTATTTTTTTGGACTTGTTATATAAAATTCGTATACATGTGTAAAATATTTTTTATAAATTTTAGAATTCAATTAAATAAAAAAATTTATATAATCTTTTTTATTTTTTATTTAAAATTTATTTTATATCTTATAATTAATTGATCAAGTGAAAGAATGTTAGATTATATTATTCTATCTGATTAGGTAATATATATTATAAATATAATTAGATTTTGATTATGATTATCAATCAATAGAAATAAAGTCTAAATATAATAAGATATTTTAGGAAATGATCGGAAGAAAGTATTCAACTACGACACAGCTTTTATAAAGAAAGTATTCAACTACGACGCAGCTTTTTCTTTCTCATGACCACTTGTTTGATCACATTCGGCAGCCACCTATATTGGATAATACGTGATTTAATTTTCCACCGGATAAGTTCATGCATATGATGGGTCTTTTCTTGCAGGAGATGCATAGGTCACTCTCCTTTAAGATCGATAGGGTCAGATCGATTTCCCAAGTGCTATAAGAATCATGATATAGATTAAATTGGATAGTCTTGATAAATCAGATTGACGATCGACCTTCCAAGTAACTCCTGACCTAAGCAAATCCTCAAAAGATAAATAGAGAAGCTCCTCCCACTCGTAAGCTTGCTTTCTTATACGTACAAAACTTTGCGACAACAATAGATGTTAATGTATTTTATTTAATATTAATGTAAATATCTTGAAATATTATGAGTAGTTTTGGAAATAAAGGCTGCTAATTAGAGTTTTAAATTAGTGGAATTTTGAAGGAAAAAAAAAGAGAGACTATTGTAATTAAAGACTGAATAAGAAAATTGAATGAAACCATCATCTTCTTCCTCTCATATTTTCGATAGTAATGAGAAGCAAAAGACAGTAAGAGGAAAATTAAAGCGTGTAGATTAGTAAGGCATTCATGTACATATGCGAAGAACTGTTACAGGTATCGTAAACCAATGGAAAGTAGCCATATAGCCTTTGCCAGCTTAAAATTAGGAGGAGAACAACTCTTGCAGTCCATTCAAGAAAAGATGCAAGACTTAGCTTGTGGAATAGACAAGATGTCATATCAGATATGAAATGAATGCAGCTTTCACATCATCATGTCTTCAACTTTATTCCCCACGCAATAGCTTCCTATTCCTCCGTATTCTTCATTTCTAGGGGTTAGGCTTCTTTGCTTGAGCTTCGACTTGCCATGCCAACTGTCCTCCCCTCTTCTTCGATCAATCAGCCATATTCCTACGCTCTCTATTGCAGTTGAAGCTCACGATAACTTTGCACTTGTTACTGAAAAGAATAATTTTCGTATATACCTCTTTAAATGTAAACCTACTATATATATATATACATGATTATAAAATTAGAAACTTGCTTGCATGACATTAATATCGTTTAAAAACACCAAATGAAACTATCCTTGATTGTGATGATGATGAAGAATATTTAAGATAATATTTATATTTCATATATCTATAAATTTTAAACCGTTTACTTATAACAATAGTTAGTGATGGCTAATATGAGCGTTTTACGCATGTTAATAAGAGCGGTATATACCAAAGATCCTAATATTTATAAGGATATAAAAAATGTTATGTTAAAGTTTATAGTGATATATACATATGCTATTTTTTAGTTACAAGATTATATATGTAAAACATGTATAAAACACTCCTTGCAATGCATGCAGTCTGAATATGAGATTATTTATGTGGTCTGAATCCTAATCACCTACGGGAACATATATATATATATATATATATATATATATATATATATATATATATATATAT